ATAACCAGCAACCCAGGCATCAAGCTACAGACTCTTTGGCTCATCATGAAAAACCCAAGAAGATAGACCCAACTGACTGAACCCAATGCTCAATTTCACGACACTGTTATCACCCAGACATGATCGTCTCAGCACCAAAACCATCTGCTGTACAAATGAAGGCTATATGCAGGCATAGGGCACTCTTTCATCACACATCCAGGACTCAAACTTCACAGTACTCCCAGCAAACCTGCCCCACTTCTGTGGGAGGCTGGATGGGATTGAGTCAGGACTTGACATCTGTAAATGGGAGAGCTTCTACTCGCAAGTGCCACAACCCAACTCTTGTCCGGAAGGGTGCTGTGCGAGAGGAGATACCCCCAGCTCTGTGGAGACATGGCAGTGACAGTGGGATTTGATTCTGCACTCAGCAGGATCCGTGAGCTGTCCCTGAATGGCACAGAGCAGGCACCAGCCCCACCACAGAACACACGTTGAGTGCCTTCCCCCGGGCACCAAGCTCCTTCAGCATTGTCCTGGTTTCGGCAGGGATAGAGTTAATTTCCTTCCTAGTAGCTGGCACAGCGCTGTGTTTTGGATTTAGGATGAGAACAATGTTGATAACACACCGATGTTTTAGCTGTTGCTAGGTAGTGCTTACACTAGTCAAGGACTTTTCAGCTTCCCATGCTCTACGGACTGAGAAGGCTGGAGGTGTAAACGAAGCTGGGAGGGGGCACAGCCAGGACAGCTGACCCCAACTGGCCAAAGGGATATTCCATACCATGTGACGTCATGCTTTTTTTTGCGAGCGGCTGTGTGGTACTCAGTTGCCGACTGAGGTTAAACCACAACAGCAGAAAAACTGCGTGATCCATGCACAGTTCCTATAGAGAAGGGACTAACAGGAAGAGTATTCTATTTATGTCACCACAATATTTTAAAGAAGAAAGTAATGGAGCATTTTTCAGAAACACTGATCACCACAACTGCTGCTGATGTAAACAGAAGCTGCAGATGCTGACTTTCTGAGTCGTCAGACCCTGCAGCCAAATGTAATGAATATTATGGTCTGTTTCCTTATTTGTTGCCTGGTTTATTCTGCAGCCCAGAGCAGTACTGCAGAGCAATACCCGTCAGGTCAGAACCTTTCCCCTCATCTGATTTGGGATGTCTCAGACATCAAGCCATTCACACCCCTGGCCACTGTTAGGAGCTCTAGAAATTACCCCAGCGAGCACTGTAAGAAGCACTTGCCCCATCATCAGCAGGGGCACAGCCACGTTCATTTCCACCCCTTTGACACACACAGAGCAGATTACAACTGTGTGATATATGAGGGGTTTGTTTTGGATCTGGAGCTCCAGCACAGAAGCCTTTGCCCTCAATAGGGTACAGCAGGGACTTGAAAGTATTTTCTATATAAACAGCCAACAAGCTTCAGTCAGAGCAAAATGCTCTGGCCCCGCAGGGCTGATGACTATCTCCTTGTGGGACAGCGTGGGACCAATTGGTCTGGCTCAGCAGTGATGGCCAAGCAGAACCTGGCCTCCCTGTGTTGGGTGGGGTTAGGGTGCTGTGCTGTGGGTTAAGCTTGTGCTCGCTTGACCCTGTATAACGACTGTCCCTCATCCTTCTCCATTACACAGCTAGTTAAGCCGTGGCTCATTTCTCCCTGCTGATATGGAGAGACTTGATTTGGCTCTTGGCTGTTTATATTTTGCAGACATCCTCTATGTAATTGCATGGCCTGGCCCCAGGCTATCAGGCTCTGGGAGAAATAACCACATTATTCCACAGAACAGTTAGCATAATTAAAATATTGACTGCAGATTAAAAAATGTGCTGAATATTTCACAGAGTGGTTGGAGGGTTGGCAAGTCTTGGCAGCTTGTTGGCTGCAGGAACTGGCTGATATTTAGGTGCGCCTTCTCCTTCAGTATTCATTGCTGTACGTAGGAACTGCTTTTTGTGCTGTCAACTTCTTATCTCCCAAGCAGCCCACAACCAAGAAAAAATGAACTGACTGGAAATGAGGAGCTCCAAGGGCTTTCTCGTGATTCTTATTGCCAGCGAGACCATTTCCTTGTTATTTATGACTTCAGGACATCTGTCTTACTGTGTCTCTATCTATTTTTATTTGTGTCCATCTCTCCAAATACACAGTGTAGGAACTGCATATGGTGAGAATGTACCAGGTGATAAAACCATTTGCTTAAGAACTGCCTGTACCATATGAGAAGCATTAATAAAGTTAAAAAGCCCACAAAAACCTCCACTGCAACATTTGTTTTAGCTACTATTCCTTCTTTGACATTTGATTTCTATCTGTATTTCATCTGTAACCAAAGTCTAAGGCATAAAATCCTTACATTTCCACAACCAAGAGGGCAGAAGGGGATGGAAGAAACCCAGTTGACAGGACTGGTAGAAACTACAGAAGCACTGATCACTACAGGGCACTTAGGGAATTCTTAGTGCCTTTGCAATATCTCCCCATTCTCTTTCTTAGGGGAATATCTGGGATAATAAACTTTGCTAGAGACACACAGGTTTGGGTTTGAATGACTTCCTGGTTCTGCCTACATCCCCTGCTATCTGGCAAAAAAGGTAAAATGATCTCATGCTACCCGTGTTATACAAAACATGTGGATGATGCCTAAACCACTTTGCAGACACCTACATCCTGAACGAAATGCAGTAGGATCAGTAACTTGCCAAGGTACTGCTTGAAATCAGCTTCTTATTCAATCTTCACTTACATGCTTGAGAAATTCCTGGGGTGGTAGGAAGTGTTTGAGCACCAGTGCAGTCTCCACTGGTCTCCAGGGATGGCTAAGCTGAGGCTGTCCTGCTCCACTGTAGCTTCCAGGGACAAGGATCTGATTTACAGCCTGATCTACAGCTCTTTTGAGATGAGCTAATTTTGTGAACGTTTCCATTCCCACTCAAGGGATGTCACAAGAAATGGCCAAACGCTATTTTCTGAGGCTTCTATTACAGCTTTAAAGTAATCATAATAGCAAATTAATAGCAGATCTGCTCTGCCATTTTCCATTCTCACTGCCATCTCTGTAATCAAGAGCAGCTCTACTTCTTCAAAGCTTATTTCTGCGATACTTCTCATTTTTGAATACACAATTAGGAAAGGAGCATGATATCTTGGCACTTCAGCTGTGGTCTGTAGGCTACTGCCGTCTTTCTGTGCTAGGCTCATTGCTAGTTTCTGCTCTCAACTTAATATTGACCTCCAAACTGTAAATCATAAGTACCACCTTGGGTAGACGCCATTCTTTCAAAGGCAAAAATATATTTTTATGTACATTTTAAATCTCTTCTAAATTAAACCCCAAGATAAACTCTGTGGAATGAGACAAAAGATGCTCTAAATTCAGTACATAGAAAGAGAAATTCACTGCACATGCACAATGTGGGGGGGCGGGAATTGTTACATCCTTTTCTCTGCTCTGATAGTTCATGTGGCCAAGTTTTTAGTTTGTCTTCACTGAATGATTCATCTCTATTACCAGTATTTTCACAATTAAATGGAAGAGGAGGAATGTGTTCATTCCCCTGCTGTGTTTAATAATCTTCCAAAAATTGTTTCCTGTTTACTTGGAAATCCCCACCTCCATGCTGTGATTTAAGCATTTTCACCCTGTTAACTTAAAAACAAAGCCTAGAAGATGCTGTATAGTTTTTATCTTGCAGTCGTAAAGCAATTTATGATAAATGTTGTTGTTCAGAGAGAAATCACTTGGAAATATGCATACGTTCATAGCTCCACATTGCTCATTTAAATCATAACTGATTGTTGAAAAAAAAATACAAATTATCATTCAGTTTTTATTCATGTAACATGTCTGATGACTGATGGCAGCTTCCCTTTTAACAACCACTGTATTGGTGCTCAAATACAAAGCTCAGTAAAGCCATCAATAACCCCATTTATGGAACTGCGCTGCTTTCTTCCATGGTACTGGCTAGCACACAACTGTGAATAGTCAGTATGTATTGTTTCGTGCAAGATTTGTCTATAAGCAAAACTTACAGTATATTTTCAAGACAAAATATTAAAAATACCTAAATTGCTTTTCCAGCTGAAGCATTACCTCTGAAATCCTGTGGCTTGGCTGGACAAAAGGAAAAGAATTTTCCCTTTAGCTTCGTCAAGGAATAAATTTGCACAATAGTTCTAGGATTTTACTTATGTAGCACATATCAAACAAACTATTCTTATATAGAAGATTTGCATTAGCTCACACAAGTCAGCGTGGTCTGTGTTAGGTTATGTGAAAAGAGTTCATTTAAAAGGCAGCAATATCCTGTGGCCTGAGAACAGAACTGGAAGCTGGGAATTCAGAAGGGACCTGAGCTCTCACACTTCCTCTCAGATTTTCATAAAGGTCTAAATTTTTCTAAACGAACATTACATTTATGTGATTAACTGGAGGCCGCATGGGCCTGATTTACAGATGTGTTAAATTTCCACGGCTCCTATTAAAGCTATTGGGAGCTCGCAGCTCTCCGCGTTTCAGAAGGCTGTAATGCCGTTACACGCAGCCCTCGGGAGGGAGAGTAACACCAACCACTACCTGGGTGAGTACCAGGCGTGGACAAAGATAGGAAAGCGATGGAATAAAGCACAGGGTGTACAAATTCAGCACATCCCCCTCTCCATGGGCCTAATAGCCCTGATTAATCCATGAGGGACGGCAGCAGTGGAGATACTGAAATATTTGGCATCCAGACAGGTACTGTGCAAGGCCAGAGTCAAGACAGCAGCTGGTAGGAAGCACTGGGCTGGCACAGTGAGGTTGAACGCCTCTCTGGCTGGCGTCCCTCAGCCTGGCCGCCGGCTCCAGCAATGCAGAGACTTTCTTTCAAAGTCTTGCACTGGTTATCTCGGTGGCTAGACTGAATGCTTGTTAGCTGGTGAGCCTCGATTTGCCTCCCCTTTTTAAGTCTGTGCTGAAGCTTTTTGTCTAACAGCTGGCTTTCCCCTCTTCCCCTCTCAGATGAGATGGAGCAGTCCCCTGCAATGCGTTCTGACTACTTGGTCTCAGGGATTCGAACTCCGCCAGTGAGGAGGAACAGCAAACTGGCAACACTGGGCAGGATCTTCAAACCATGGAAGTGGCGGAAAAAGAAAAACGAGAAGCTAAAGCAGACATCTGCAGGTAGGATGAGAAGAAGAGAGTGATGCTGCACAGAGCAAAGCTTAGCCTGGGCGAAATTTGCTTACACAGGAAATGTTAATGGTGACCTGATCTAAACCTAATTCAGAGATTTCAGCATGTTACAGATTAATAATGTTTAAGGCTAGAAAGAGCCCATATAGGCTGACTTTCTATATGATACAATATAGTACACTTAGAAGAAAGGGTCAAAATATGAGAATGAAGAGCAAGCCTCGACACAGACTGCTTTTCATGGACTGTTCCTTCTCCAAAATAGGCTACATTTATGGCCCCAAGTATCATCACCCCTTTTATTTGGGGTGAAAATTATATAGGTCACAGTAACATTATGAAAAGTGACAGAAGGGAGTTACAGCACATAAAATGCTTTCCCTCAAGCAGCTGTCTGCGGTGAAGGAGCCCAGCACACAGCACTGCGTGCTCTCGCTAGTCTCCAGGGGTGTCCTAGGAGATCAGTAAGGAGACAAACTCACTTGCCTGTTCCTAAGATAGGATGGTGCAATTCCCTCCACTTGCCCTGCTATCCTGTGGACCGTCACAGTAAAGGACACCGCTTCCTGAGGCAGCTCCCACCTGCCGTACTAAACAGCGTGAAGGCTCTAATATCCCAGTTCCTCTGCACTCAGTGTGATCAGACAGTAGGTCAGATCATAAATCTCAGCTCTCCATGTGGGTGATTTTACAGCTGTTTTAATAAAGGAAAAGGCACAAACAGGCTGACCAGTCCACGCTCCCCAAAACAAAATCCTTGCAGTTCTTCCACATTGCATCTTTCTCACTCCATTATATGAATACTCTCTTGTTAACTGGTGCTGTGTTATGCTACTACTTTGTGCAGTGCTGGAAAAGAAGATGACAGCACGACAAGGTCGGGATGAACTCATTAAGAAAGGTCTTCTGGAGATGATGGAACAAGGTAAGTAAAAATTCTTCACCTTTTTTTATCTAAGTCTTTTTCAGGACAATAGGAAACACAATTGCAAAAGAAGAAAGCTAACAATCAAATGAATAAAAAGGAAAACCTTTAATCCAAACAGAGAGGAAAATTCAATATTTGAATTAAGCATGGCTTTCTTCAAATTCCTCCCTGCTGCAATCAATCCATGCAGTTTAATTTTTGATGTTTTACCATCTTGAATGCAACTCCATCTTTGCTTGATTTATACATGGTGCAAATCTGGGCCGGTACGTATGTTTTATGCAATTGCTCTAAACCTAGCTAAATCAACTGCCAAGAAAGTCAGCTAAAGCTGGTATAAATACAAACTTAAACATACAGATGCATTCAGCTGACATGTACAACCATGAATTCAAATCTCATAAAATGATACTAATCTGATGTTTTCAGCTGTCTTTCTGGTCAACCAAGTTTGTGACAAAACATATTACCATTCTGCCTGTTTTTCATTCACATGGAAAAGTGAAGCATTTGGTAGTGTCATTTTAAAGCTTTCCTGAGTACAAACCAGGTTCAGCAGGAGTCATTGAATGAAAGATGATAAAACATCAGAAACATGCACAAAGGACTGTGGTTCTGTATATCCCTGCTCCAAAGCCCTGACAGATGCTCAAGGAGATGGAGATCTGGGTGACTATTCTGCGAGATCAAGTGAGCTCCCAGTGTTACGGACAACATCCCAATTGCCATTTCCACCTAAACAGAGATAAAAAAAATAAATCCCTCTTTACTTTGAAAACTTTATAGCAGAAAGTACTGTAATGAAGAAAGATTGGCCTTTTGAGTTTGACCAATCTGATAGATAGAAATTATGTTCTTTGAAACTAATAACTGAGTTTCTTTGTATAAAACAAATGCCAGGCCTATAAATAGCCTGTGGGCCAATACTCAGTGGTGCTATGCTGGAGTGTAACCGAGCAACTGAAGAGTCAGGAAAAGAGCATTTTAAACAGGATTTCTTTTCATTGCAGTAAAGCCATTTTCTTATTATTTTATTGGATACATTTTAATATGAGTTTCATGTTCAAGTTAAAAAAAAAAATCTATCAAACCATTAGTTTATTCTAAAATGGAAGCTTTAGAAAGCTCATTTTTAATTCTGTCCATTGAACTCTTTGTGCCTCTCCTAATTCTAGCTAATTAGTTGCCGTATTAGCATATTAGTACTATGGGATAGAAAAATACACCCCATTTCTGCTAGGAGTATGGAAGTTCCCCGTAATCCATGAATTTGAAGACATGGGTATCTACAGCTTTGCCAAAGCACAGTAAAATAAAACTTCTGTAGAGCACATTAAAAGGTAATAATAATAATAATAAATCAATAAACCTCTTGCATGCATGAAGTGGCTGGGAGAAAAACAGATGATGCTAAGTTGCAAGATCATTTTAACAAAATTAAAATAGTTTAAATAAATACATAGAGTCCAGTGAGAAGCGATGACAAGCTGTGCTTTCAAAAAGGCAGCTGCAAACAGACTGCTTACCTGTCTGCAATAAAGTTGCATAGAGCTCCTGTAAAGATTAAACAAATTTTCAGTACCACCCTGCTGCCCAGAAAGGAAAGAATGGCTAACAGTCAGCTGAAGGACATTGCAGCTGCCTGCAAGTTATTTTTCTTTACAGAGTGTTGTGAATCTCCAGGGTTATTTTATTATATTATTAGTAGAAGCAGCTTATTAACTGGAAGAAAAAATTGACCCAAATAATTCTCAGTAAATGATTAGTGCCCTACTTGGACTGAGCTGAAGTGGCAGCAGTTTCAAGGCTAAGTCCTCATTTATGCAGTAAGTTGCAATTGTCAAAGCAGCAATACTGTGCTAAAAGACTACAGTAAATCCTAAAATCCCTCTACTTCATCAGGCTCTACTCCACTTCCAGAGACCTGATTCCTACTCACTTTCATAAATAGCCCAAGCTGGGATGAAGCTATAGTCTGAGAAATCTCCAGATCTGCTTCATGCGTTTACAACAGCTGTGTCACCCTCCAGTTCCATAGCACAAGGTCTGTCAAGCAGCATTTTGAACCGGACTGTTTGGCTCAGAGCAAACTGCAAAGCTAGCACAGAATCTGCATCAATCTGGGAGCAGCCCAGGGTGAAATCGCACCGTCCTTGCTTTGGTGATGCGTCATCCTAACAGGTTATGTCACCCTTTCTCCTCACACAACCCCAAAACCCAGCTGCCCAGACACACCGCGCAGATGAAGTTGCGCAGCCTGGGCCCCTTCTGTCTTCTCCTCTCCAGCTCTGCTCACGCAGGGCAAATACAGCTTTGCTCTGGGGAACCAACTTGCACTCTGTAAGAGGTTGCAGGGTCTGGCAGAAAGCAGGATTCATTCTAAATTACAGCCCTACTTCTTCTGATTACTTTGCAATACTCAAGACTCTCTGCTGCTTTCCTTACCAGTGGATCTAAGGTCTGTGCTTTCTCGTATCCCCAGACTATCTCTAAAATACAGTGTTGGGACCCACTGCCAATCAAAGCAGCACATCCACTTTGATCTAAGCACAAGGTGATCATCTCTGACCAGGAACATCACTGTTGTGAGTCTCAGACGCTCCTCAACAGAAATTCTTCAACGGGGCTGTCTTCTGCTTGTCATTACTTCATTAGTCATTACACTTTCCATCAGCTGGGATCTGAAGGAACTCATGTCTCTAACTGCAGTTTCATCGTGGCACAGCTGTCAGCAGCTTGCCTTTCTGAAGGATGTGAGGAATGCGCAAAGCGGAGTTACCTTGAAAACATTTAGGGAGCTTCCCCCGATATTTCTCCCCATTGTGAGCACAAAACTGATCAGATGTAGCTGTATTTACAGCACTGAGAGATAAGGGCTCCCTGTCAAATAATGCAGGCAGCTGTTAATACACCGATGATTATGTATAGGCTGCCTTCACAATGAACTGAGATGTAGGCAATGAACTTTTTCCCCCTCCCCTTCCCTGTATCATAGCAACTGTGCTACTGCAGGGGCTATTTTAAGAACAGTAACTTTTCACCAAACGTGATTATGAGGCAGACTGAGTGAGCTCAGCATACAAAAATACTGCATCCCTTCCGCAGCATCTCTGGGCCAAAATCTGATACCCTTACCCAAAAGGGCAATAAATTACTCTGCAGATTGTCCAAATAGTATTAAAAAGGAGTAGCTGTGAATGCTAGCTATTTTAAATCAATGTTCAAGAAACTTGTCATGATATCATTGCAAGAAAACATAGCCCTGTCAGGAGCTTCCAGAAAGGAGTGTCTAGGGCTGAGAAATACAAGTTAGGAGGTCAGGGGTGGACAGCAGACATGTCCATCAGTATGGAGTGCTGGCTAGAGCGGGAAGTAATTGCTTGCTTTGGTTTGCAACAGTGATGTAGATCTTGTAAATTCTGAGAGTGTCGTGAAGTAAAAGGATAGTTTGTATTCTGAGGACTCGTGCCTGAATAGGATAATACTAGAAAAGCTTCAGTCATCAAGATGCATACAGCTGCAGGAATCACTGGCACAAAAATCTTTCAGAGTAAGCAAAGGGAGCAGTTTCTAGGTCTGCATGAAGAGGGATTTGAATTTCTGATCAGCTCAATCACACAGGACACGCTTTTTGAAGCCGAGTAACTCAAAACCTACAGCTTGGTAGGGAATATTAGCAGCCTTGTCCTCGGTAAGGCTCCGGCATTACTGCTGGGGCAGCTGGATGCCAGTGTGTCGTGCACGGAGCCTGACACAACTCAGACATCAGACCAGCCTGTGCATGCTCTGCACCTCGAGCTCTGCTCGTGCAAGGAATTGCCTTCTCCCAGAGACCTCCGATTTCCCATGCTTGTACTCCTCTCCCACATAGCAGGTGCTTACAGAGTACAGTGGCCTTCCTGTACATGCACAATGGCCATTTGCCCAGGCTACTGGATGCCCGCAAGAAAAAGGTGCCCCATTGAGAAAACTGGGTGGATATTAGTATCCAGATGGGCTGGTCTCCACAAGTTTTGCATTACAGATACTCAGCACTGTTAGAAATCAGTTGCTGCTGTAAGACAAATCTCAGTCCCCTGAGCACTAGCAGCTTTGAGACTCACTCTTCTCGAGAGGATAGCAGGGAGTTTCAGCTTTCACTGCTCATGGTTTAGTTAAGATTAAATGATTTGGTGTTTTAGATACCGAAGGCAAAGCCTGCACTGGTGACGATGCCACGAGAGCAACGCAGAGTGACCCTCCAGCTCCTGTGTGCCAGGCACTTACCTCAGAAGAGGTGCAGCAAGAGAGTACAATAGCAGCCACAACGAATGTGACCTCGCTTGGTGAGGAGCTGCATTTGGATGAGCTGAAAGAAGATGCAGGTATTGGATATAAAACATTTTCAAAAAACTATAAAATGTTAAAAAAATATTTCTGCTGAGCTGCTTTATGAGGAGTCAAATATGTCACTGCATTAAAGGGTCAGATCACCTTGCTCAGCTTAGCCCATACTAGGTTAGTAATCAGTACGTAAAAACAGTGATTTTTGAGACTGCTACCAAACTGAGGAACCACACAAAGCCTGGCATAATGGGATTAGTTGGATTATGAGACAATCCAGTCTTGGCATGGTGCCCCTTTGGTATTAGCAGTGACTGCTGTGAAGATGAAACAAGCTTTTCTTAAAAACATTTCTTAAACTTCTGCGCCAAGCCTGAAATTGCTTGTCCTGGCTTGGGAGAACAATGTCAATACACAGCCCACGCTGTCGATATCGTCAACCCTGTCTACAACATGCTGCAAATACAAGTGAAGTTCAATACCGGGAGCACAGATAAGCTAAACCAAGCTCCTTTCATGCAACTGTGCTCCGGCAGAGCTCATCCGTGACAGCAGTTCCTTGGGACCAGAGTAGCAAGGCACAACCCAGCAGCTGGAGGATTTCCATTCACTTCCTGACAACCAAGAAATGCAAAGCTGCAGAGATAATGCTTTATCCTACTTTGTGAGGAGTGCCATGTAGTGATTACAGATTTTCCTGCCCATTCCCTCTGGTGAATCTTTACACCTTCTCCATCTGCCCTGGTTGCCTTTTGTTCTCCATCCCACCCCCTCATGCCCTGCTTCCTCCGGGGTCCCAGACCCCAGCCACTTTCAGCAAGCCCACTCCTACCTGCTGTGGTTTGCTGAGCAATGCTGCCTGCTTGTGCCCTCACCCTGCTTCAGCAGCTCAGAATGGAAATCATTCTCTGAAGGATTTTCCATTTCTTTGCTTTATCCTTTCCCACTTCCTTTTCCTCCCCATGACTCATGCAATTTTGTTCCCTTTTGCTGTTTTACTTTTATATAATACTGTTCTTCTGGCCCATTTCTAGCTCCACTCCACTCTTAATTGCTTTGACAACAGAAACTCTTCTGTCTCCCAAAAAGTATCTCTCCTCATGTTGGCTCATCACAAGGATTTTTTTGTAAGCTTAACACCACCTTTCCATCACCCATCACCTTCTTCATTTCAACTACATGTGTTATTTCATCAAGAAATATCCCAAAGCACTGTATGTGGGCTTCTAAAGATGTATCCTCTCTCTTTTTTGTCTCTTAAAATAGAGACAAAATAGAGAATGGGACATAGATTGCTCCTATTAATACAAGCCCTTAATGCTGGTTTCCTTTCTCTTCAAACTCTATCCTTCATGGCTGTGTTTGATTTTGTATCACCCTAAAAATTAATTGAGGCAAAAACCATTCATCTCCCTGTTCTTAGAACAACCAGATCAAGATCTTGACCAGAATCCTTCAGGCACTGCTATTATTAGCAATAATACTCTTTTTCTAGAGTGTTTCATTCCATATCACTAAGGAAATTTCTCTCTGAACTTTTAATTATAATAATGTATCATGTATTTAACCTTATGGCTCTGCAAAACCTAGTAATAGTACTAGGTTTTAAAACCTAGTACTAGGTTTAAACTAGGTTTAAAATTTACCTTATGCTGCATTCAAAATTGTGTATTGAGGCTTTCAAAAATCTTCCCAATTTCTTATGTCTCTTTCTGTAATCCTAGTTCCTTTTATTGTCTCCCTGGCACAACCTTTCCTCTCTTCTGTATTTCTTTTCCTCCATTTTTTGAGGTGTCATTTTTCCGGATTGCAAAAAATAACAGTGGGATTACCTTCTCCTGTCTCCCTGGTCTGCGAGACTCCACTCCTATTTGTTGGAAATCTTCCTACCTCTTTCATCGGTGGCCTCTGGCTTTTAAAATAATTGTTGTCGATCTAATCTTTATGTGCTAATTTATCGCTGTCTGTGCATTCTAGCATTCCTGTCTCTAGTGAGTCTGCCTTAAGGAATTCATCGGGTGGGAAAACTCTTCAAAATTGTCAGAGTGTATTGCTAAGTTTATTATAATGTTGAGTTTATTATAACGTTTGTCCTTGGGCTCAATCCAGGCCCAGTGCAGTAGGTGTCTTTCCACAAATTCATATGAATGTTTGACCAGCTAGAAACAAAATGAATATATTTGCTTTATATCCAATATGTCGTATTTAATCCTGAGGATGTGGGGTGAAGGCCAGGGAGCGGAAGAGGAAGGAACAAAAGGAAATATTAGAAGACTTCGTGTTCGGTTAATACACAGAAAAAGAACGGCCTAGGCAGAAAGAGGGCAGTTTTTCCCACCTAACCTAGCCAAATGGGCTTGGGGGCAGTCCCAAGGGGAGGATTTCTACCTAGTAGTGAGATGGCATTTTGACAAGTGGCACTCCATGAATAATTAGGTACTCTGGCAAAGAGTCTAGTGCTGAGCACTTGGAGTATTTTCAGCAGGATAATAGTCACTCTGCAGTATGAAATCTGTTAATAGGTTTGTGTACTCAAGACTCAGATCTGCCTTCAGACTGAGTCAAACATGTGCTGTTGTTACCAGAAACAACCACAGAAAAAAAACAGAAGCAAACCGTTCTTTGCAGGGAATGTAAAATGGACATTCGTTAGACAACAGTGCACAATGCCAGTTTGTTTTTGTGATACCACTCTCGGAACAGGATGGAGTTCAGAAACAAAAAGATCTGTTTGACTGAGGCCGAGTGTGTTTTGGATCCACCTTCTCTATAGGAAAGGTCCCACTGTGGCTGCTCCTCTGCATCCGTGCCAAACAGCACTTCACGTCACAGGGAGGTCTACTGATTTCAGTGAAGTTACTGCCAGAAGAAAGTATCACTCCACTCAGGGGAATGCACTCAAATCTGACTAATTTTCCTATCGAGATACTAACATCTACTCGAGCTCTTGATCTTTCTGTAATGTAACCCATTAGTGACTTAATTTTTCTCTCCCTCTATTCCACATTTTGTCTTCTATGCAGTAGGCACAAAAATACAAAGTTATGTCAGCCTGGAACAAAGCATTTCCCTAGAAGTATATTTAAAAGAAAACTATTTCCTTCTATCATTCAGGCAACTATCACATACGGCAGCTTTCCTATCAAGCCAAATTTCACAAGAATTCCTGTTAACAATGCATATTTATTCTACTTTCCTGTCTTTTTTGAATGATAAATACTCATTCCTCCTCTTCTAGGCATACTCATTAATCTGTTTGTCAACAAATTAAATGCTATTATCTTGCCCATGCTATTGTTTCCAACTGCCTAAGTGCTCTGGTGCCTCCCCATGCACTCTGAACATGAGGATGCTGAATGCTCATTAATACAGAGAGTTTGTATTCCAAACAAGACATAAAACTGAGCCAAGAAAAGATTTGTGATGTGGCAGCTGTGGGTGCCCACTACTGTGAGCTTTTAGGAGATGCGCTGGAATGGTTTGGAGGGAAAGGTACTTTGTTTAGACAATCCAGAATGTTAAAAGGAGTGGGATTTGCCATTTATCCAGCCCAAGCAGTTTGGACGTCTCTCATGCGCTGCTCTGGTGAGACCCCACCCGGAGTACTGCGTCCAGCTCTGGAGTCCTCAGCACGGGAAAGACATGAACCTGTTGGAGTGGGTCCAGAAGAGGGCCACAAAAATGATCAGGAGGATGGAACACCTCTCCTATGAGGAAATGCTGAGAGAGTTGGGGTTGTTCAGCCTGGAGAAGAGAAGGCTCCGGGGAGACCTTATTGAGGCCTTTCAGTACTTAAAGGGGGCTTATAAGAAAGATGGGGACAAACTTTTTAGCAGGGCCTGTAGCAGTAGGACAAGGGGGAATGGTTTTAAACTAAAAGAAGGTAGATTTAGACTAGATATAAGGAAGAAATTTTTTACGCTGAGGGTGGTGAAACCCTGGCACAGGTTGCCCAGAGAGGTGGTGGATGCCCCATCCGTGGAAACATTCAAGGTCAGGGTGGACGGGGCTCTCAGAAACCTGATGTAGTTGAAGATGTCCCTGCTCATTGCAGGGGGGTTAGTCTAGATGACCTTTAGAGGTCCCTTCCAACGCAAACTATTCTATGATTCTATGCTGAGGAGAGACTTAAACACTGATCTCCCCATTTGGATGAGTGTTTCACCTGCTAGGGTAGGAAAAATAACCCTCATGGCTACTACTGAGCCCATAGTGGCTGGAAATGCAGTTTGGAGAGAGCCTGGTCGTGGCTGGGGTCCTGGATCAGAGTCAGCCTCAAGCCTCTCTGTGGGTCCCCACATATGCCAAGGAAGAGATCAGGACATGTAACAGCGTGTGAAAGTCAAACAGTGAGGCACTGTGTGAGTTTAGGCACTGCCAGAGTCAGCTGGTATCTGAGGAGGATTCAAGGGTGTTAATTTTGGACTTCATCACTGAAATTCCACCTATGTCCTGCTTCAGCTTCATGCCTTCCTGGATCTATTCCCCTGTGCCCTCATCACAGCCAGGTCAATTTGATGAACTGCTCAGTGATTCAGCCTGCACTAACTTTAGGAGCTAAGTGCTTTTGCCATCTTTCAGGAGACAATCCTGAAATGAGCACTGCTTCACCATCTCAAATTAAGGCTTTGGTGATTGTTGTGGTTTAACCCAGCAGGCAGCTAAACACCACACAGCCGTTTGCTCACTCCCCCCTGCCCAGTGGGATGGGGGAGAGAATAGGGGGAAAAAAGTGGATTGACACAAAGACAGTTTAATAGGACAGAAAAGGAAGGGATAATAATAAAAGAATATACAAAGCAAGTGATGCACAATGCAATTGCTCACCACCCACCAACCGATGCCCAGCCAGTTACTGAGCAGCGGTCACTGCCCCCCAGCCAGCTCCCCCCAGTTTATGTACTGAGCATGACGTCATATGGTATGGAATGTCCCTTTGGCCAGTTTGGGTCATCTGTCCTGGCCGTGCCCCCTCCAGCTTCTCGCTGGCAGGGCATGAGAAGCTGAAAAGTCCTTGACTAGCGTAAGCACTGCTCAGCAACAACTAAAACATCAGTGTGTTATCAACATTATTCTCATGCTAAATCCAAAACACAGCGCTGTACCAGCTACTAGGAAGAAAATTAACTCTATCCCAGCCGAAACCAGGACAGTGATTGAAGTTTTTCTTAAGTACTTCACCGATTCTCTGTTCCACACTAGCTGCGGAGATCCAATGGCAAATCTTTTGTATGGCAGGCTTTTCTTGGTTATCAACTTTAACCTCAGGAAAGACTCAACAGTTCTGGAGTCAGGTACAGTAAAAGAAGACTTGGGATGCAAGTTGAAGTCATGTATTAAATAAGGTACAAATTACATTGTGAAAATAAATGTGTACAACAAACAACTGGAAAGTCAGCTTTCATGTCATGTTACCGGTTTGATACTCCTTGCCCTTTGGCTGTGTGTTCCTAGCACAGAAGAGTACTCACTCAGTAACTGTGCCACCACTGCAGCTGCATGCTGTAAGAAAATTCATTGCAGTTCTCAAAAGTTGCTTTGCCTTGCTGTCTTCATTATTAAAAAAAACAGGAAAGGGAAAAAGGCTTTAGGGAAGTAAGGGAAGCTCAGCATTTTCCCAGGAACATCAAAACTAACATTTCTTCAATATCCTTGTACATTTTATTCTTTACCTGCCTTGGCTGGTTGGCTATTTTACACAATAATTATTTTCACTATGGAAAAGAAGTGCTTCTAGCTGTGTGCCATGTGTTCTGTTTTTCTGAATGTTCCTGGCATTGTCCCCTGGCCTATCATTATTATTAACTTCATGTTCCATTAATTTTACTCATCTTCCTACTAGCCAAGAAACCTTCAGCACCCACGGAAGAATTAGAAGATGCCAGCCTGCCAGCATCTGAAGACAGTCCGCAAGCCTTACTTGTATCCGAATCCACAGATTCCCCCCAGAAACAGACAGAAAGAAACCCAGCACAGCTTCCCAGCCCTCCGTTGCTCCCAGCTCCACCACCTAAGGCAATCTCCAAAATCACAAAGAGCGTAACAGGTCAGTCATTACTGGTCAGTAGAGACTTTCCCATCCCTTATGTGTTGTTGGCCTACACAGCACAGTATATAATTATTTTCTTACACCCTTTTTTAAGCCTATTGCCGCAAACTGCTGCGAATCAGGCTGGTTATATTGAATGAACAGAATGCTAATGATTTCCATTAACTGAGTGGTCCAGTTGCCTGATAACAACGCACTGATCTTTGTACTTCACATATTTACCTGAATCTCTCAGGGGATTATTTGTTGCGAGTCTATTGCACTAAACACATGTAAAACAAATCAAACCAACTGCAAACATCTGCTGAATCAGATGCTCATATCAATATGCCATAAAACACAAGGAAGATTTAAATGTTTTCATTACCTAGCTTCCCGCTGGATAACAGTACAACAGCCAAAATCAAGTTCAAGTCAATAGGTTCTGTAGAGGTTTCTGTCTGAAGAGTTTGCTCTCTAGGGTAGGTCTAAACTAGAGCTATGAAATCTGGCCTAGTTATACAGAACACACAGAAGTGATACACCTGGCTCCCACAAAGCAATCCTCCGTGCCACTCTTCATTGAATGTTACAAGAGCAATTCCTCTGGGCCTGATTTTCTAATGTATTGCCAACGTTGTTACATTTTCCAACATTCTGGCACTGCAGGAAGGGTGTTAAAGTGAATATGATTTTAGTTTGTTCCAATTTTAGGGCCCCTACATATGGTAAAAGCAGTTAAAAGGGCCTTATTGCAAATTGGAATCAAGTCCTGACATCTAAATGTCAGACCTGTTGGATAGTTAGACTTTTAAATGACAGCCATTATCTCAGCCCTGATGTGCATCCACACTCATCTACTGGCACAATGAATAGGGTTTTCAAAGTCACCAGGAAACAAACTATCAGAGGGGCATTGTGATCTGACCAGTGGGGTTCATAGAAAACATTGAGGTTTTCAGTCTTTTTGAGGAAAATTACAAGCATTTGTTTCCCATGGAAAATATCCATATTTTGTCCATGCTTAAAAGCCGTAAGGGTTTAAGTGGAAGCTGGATTCAAAATGGTATCATAATGCTCCTTGGGAGCTGCTGTTCAGATTGCTTCAACGTTCTGTGCTATGGGTCAGGCTCCAGCCTGCCCCTTCCACCTTGCAACATGAACAGGCACAACCAGGACACCCCTTTGACTTTGCTCAACTGATGAGGAGGCCATGCTCTGCATGAGATGTAGGCTATTTGGAAAACCTGACCCATAGAGGGTAACAAGATTACAGCTCCACCACTTCACAGCATTTTGAGTCTAGATATTTTGCTGCTTAACCAAAGTATTTCCTGTAACATCTAAGATATTCTGAGTTTTGGTATTTCATTCTCATCTAAATTTTCCACAAAGAACAACTCTTAGTTTTCTCAGTGACTCCAATAACTATAGACCCTTTTTCAATAGTGATTATACATTTGTTTATTTTTGTGTGAATGTGGAGGCAGTGGTAAGTTAAGACTAAACAAATACTGTCAATGAGTGAAAGGGAATACAAATGTATGGGGAGAGAGAAAGAGCGATTATGAAAGAAAAGGGAGATGAAGAGGTTGAAAAGCTCTTTTGTGTTTAGTTTTTTCCCCCTTAACAATGTTAGAGATGCTGTTAGCAGAGGAGTGAGGAACAAGCCAAGCACCAATTAATCACAGAGAGAGGGGGAACAGGGCAAGGTGCCAAGACATCACTTTGCAAGATTATTCACTGAACAGCTGTCATTAGGACAAATAAGGTGTGATCTAAGGAAACTCTCAATATTGGCCCAAGCTGCAATGAGGACAAAATTGGCCTTTGACCTGTTCCAGGAACAAGCAGGTATAAAGAGAAAACAAATCTCCTCCTTTCCTGCTTTAGGGCTGAGCTGAACCCCGGGTTCTTGCTCTGACAAAACACGGACACCCTCTCTCACTGTGCAGTGGTATAAAGTGACTTAAGAGGTGGGGTTTTTTCATCCCCTCAGGCAATGATCGATCATAAGTGTCCTCTGTGCATCTCTACGGTAGCACATAATCAAAATCCCCTTGAGTGCCGAAAAACCATCTTTGCTTAGCACAGGTTGGCTGTCTCCTGGCCGCAGCAACCATCCTGATCAGTGCAGGAGGAGCTCCAGGGTGGGAAGGTGTCTCATTGCCAAGATGTTGCACATTGGGCACTAGACACTTGAAGAAATGCCCTTGTGCTTCAGACATTTCAGATTTTAAATCGGGTAACTTTTGGACTAGCTTGACCCCCGTCTCCTGGATGCATAGAGACATGAATGAAGCTCTGGCTATTGGTTAGGGTTCTGGGTTGGAGGGAGAGAAGTGTGCAAAAATGCCTTCCAAAAATGAAAAAAAAGTCAGACCTTTCTTAGAATAAGAGAGAAGATTTAATTGTGGATGCAACTCTCCTCATTGAAAAATGCTCTCCTCCTCACCCCACAAATGTGAAAAAAAGACCAGGTTTAGCGTTGCTGCTCAAATTTTCGATGTTTGATTTTGGTAATCGCTACAGGAGCTCTTCTTCCTACTTGTGCTTTTGCTGTTGTCCTCAGTAATTCTGCCCTCCAACCTCCAGATGCCCAGCTCTGTTTGCAGCGCTACACTTACGGAGCTGCACCAGATTTCCAGCAGTGAACTTAAGAAAAGGCATGCAGCTGGTAACCATTATGCAGGGTGCTGGGTCTGAGAGGAAATATTGAATAGCTGAAGTTAATATTCAAACCTACTTTTGTCCTCTCCAGTTTTCTAGTAAGTTACCCTGCTAATAGGAACCAAGTCCTTTTTACATGGTTATTTCAGGATAATTCTGGCCTGAGCAGAAGTTTTTCCCTGCTATGAACTGAAGGATTTATCTCAAAAGTAAGTGAAAAAAGTCAAAATGATCCGTGAGAACAAGTTTGTACAAAAGCTGTACAAGGTCTGTCAGTTTAAATTCCTGTTTAAAACACTAGGTGGCAACAAGAGAAAAGAAACGCTCTTTTGTATGAAGCACTCATTGCCTTTTCACACCCAGACTGAGCTATTGGTGTAAACAACGCCATACGCCAGAGGCTTGGGACAGAGATATAAGGGAAAGGGGAAGAGAACTGCAGAACAGAAAAACTAATCAGCATCTTTTTCAGGCCAGATGTTCAGTTATCTTAAGAATGTGAAACTACCAAATTTACAACCAGGGAAATGTCTGCTGTGTTTTGGACTCAGGTGCTAGAGAAATGTATATATCAAAGTCTAATTTCCAACAAAACGGTTACATTGCATAAAAAAACTCTGAATCCGGGGGTAAAAAAAGATTAGATTGCCCCACCCTTCTTTTTTCTTCTTAGTGCTCAATACCACATCTTTCATTTGGATTTCATTTGGCAAGTTTTGTTATGCGAACATTATCCTCATATTAAAATGATTTTGGCATTTCCTCAACTGGCATATGAAAGACAGAGGTCTAAGCTGTGCAGCAATTACAGAGGAGCAGATAATAGACACTGGTACATTTTGTCCTGACTAAGAACCACAGTGCATAAATCTTAATACAGTCTGCCAGAGTCCAGCAGAGAAAGTGCTAGATTGTGAAGCCGCCGCAGTACAAGCCATTGGTGGTTAGGAGGAACAGTACTGGCAATCACAAATGCATTGGTGGGCTGGGAAATAGGAGGATCTGATACTGCGGGAAAGAGGGGAACTGGGGGAGGCATCTATTTTGCTAGATCAAAGATCTGGGTCTGTGTAGTAGGAGCCTTTTGAATTCAGAGAGTTACTCAGCTTAACCAGTTACCCCTTAGCAAGAACAAAATATCACCATTTTCTTCTGTTCAACACAACAAATTAATTTCAGGGCAGACTCTGCAAAAAAACGAGAAGCGTTGCACAACCTCTTACCCTCTTGTGTTTTGACAACAGGAAGTGAAATAGATGACCCAGCCATGAAATCTCCTCCGTCCACCATCCTGAAGAATTATGTCGTCGTTGGTTCCTCCCAAATCTCAGGACAAGCTGCCCTCTTCCATCCCTCTGGCCAGAAAAGTTCAGATCCCCATGTCAGAGGACAGGTAACAACACCAACCAGTTCGCCTCACCTGGCTGCCGTCCACCTGCCTTTACCTCCCAGCAGAGTCATTGAAGAACTCCACAGGGCTCTGGCCACCAAACACCGTCAGGACAGGTACCTACAGCCTCTTGGCTATATGGGTGCATGAGGAGAGTCATTCCACTAAATCATTTTTCTTGGTAAATGTTCCTACCTTGTTATTAGCATTTTATTTAGTCCTACAGCTCGGGTTTGCCTTCCTCTTGATGTCACTTCTTCGAACACCCATCCCTGGTTAAAGTGCTTAATTTGGCAGTTACTTTCAAGTATGTTCTTCCTTTATTAGGAGGCTATACTGTGACATGGAAGTAGGTTTTCAAACAGGTAGAATCATTTGATAATCTTTGACCTATTGCAAAAGAAAATCTCACCACAAGTCACCAAGTTAGAGCAGCTAAGGCATATCCTGCTCTAAATAGCAGTACTCTACATAGGAGAAATGCTACCACTTCAGTATATGTCTCTTGGCTTATACATGAGCATATACGGTATCCATTTTTAATACAAATGCTTGTGTGGGAGTACATTGGGTACTTTGTCTGGTTTTCATTATAAGCCCTCCTGTGTATTAGAGGAGGACAGAGATAACCTTTTCCATCACAGAGCTTTGGAGTTAAGTTGGTAACATTTCTCAATTCCGTAACAACTATTGTCATGGGGAATAGATTCATACGATATTACTTCCAGGCCCTGTTAAACCTTTGTCATGATCATAAAATATCAGAATGGTAATATTTCATGCCATGTATGTTTTACATTAGAAGGACGTGCTGTGTGGTTTTTTTTAATCAGTACAGTATTGCATGTGGCTATACATCAAAGAAATACACTAGTCACCACCCTTCCGTACCTTATTTTTATGACAGAGATAGGAAAGTAGATCTGCGTTAGCCATTCTCAACACAGTCTTGAGAATGCCATCCCGTGTTGTCCCATGTTGAACAATCTGCCCTGGCCTTTATGAGCTACAAGCCATTCTGCTCATTCTCATATAACGATAAGTGCCTACTGTGGCAATAAAAAAGTCTTTTGTAAAAACTGGGCTGTGCACCTTCCACCCACAGCTTCCATGGAAGAGAAAGCAAAGGCTCTCCAAAAAAAAGAGTGGATGTCCGTCCATCCAGAACATCTAGCATTGAGCGCAACAAAGAAAAGGAGAACTCACTGAGTTACAGCAGTGATTCAGAAAATAAGCGGAACTCAGTTAAAGAGTCGGATGAGAACAAAGAAAACATGATTATGAACTCAGAGCTCAAGGAAGACTCTGTTTTTTATCAGGATGAGGAAGTTTTGAATGACTCCATTATTTCTGGTAAGGAAAGTCACTTATTATATTATAAAGATATACTATTGTAGCCTAACGGAATGCTCTAAACAAGGCAGCACGCAGCAGAAAATATTGAGCAATATAAATTCCTCTGTTGTCACATCAACTGTTTCAAGGAATCCTGGTGAAAAGCTAAAGCTAAATTTAAGTCATAGTGATTGTGATCACGGTTGTCTTGGTAGGTACTGCATACTAAGATGACGTTTAGAGTTATGCTGATAAGTCAATGTATCAGTATGCTTTACCCTTTCAGTTACTTATGTACCCTTTGTACTACTACATATGAATGGCAGCACTTGCAGGCACTTCTCACTGTCAGTAGGCAAAGCTTTCTGTATACCCGGTGCCAATGCTGTGGATGTTTTGGAAGCATCCCATTTTAGGACTATTATTCCAGTGCAGTGATGGTCCAGTGAAAAGTGGAAGAGACTAATGAATCTAGGAAGGACAAACATCCAGAGAAAATGTTTTAAAAGAAGAAAGTTGCTCTCCATTTGGTCCATTTTACCCTTTCTTGAGACATATGGGGAATGCATTGTATAATCCTGAGCAATTATTTAAGTGGGCTTTGGCAAAAAAATCAGCTCTCATTAGAAAATTTATTTTTCATTCAAGCTTTTAATGTTTGCCACGTTAGCAAGACAAAGATTCAGTCTGAAATGAATCCTTCAATCTCTTCATCGATGCATTAAAAGAAGGCAGGCAGAGAAATATTCATCAAAAAATAATTGTTATAACAGATTAAGGATCAATTTTAAAAGGTGCCTATTAGAAAGTATGAGCCAGCAGACAGGACACATGAGTTCTGCTCCAGTGTCTTCAGACACTAGTAACAGAACAGACTACTGAGATAAGGCAAAAGAAAAGATAATCCCTTGCATATCTGCTGTGCATTCAAGGATAACTTAAAAAATAAAAATCACCTTTTAAGGTCTATTTTTTCTGACTATGTGTTGTTCCTGATTATAAAAGTGGTCTCCTTTGGTATAAATTCTAAGAGCTAGAGGCAGCCAGGCAAAAAAAATGTTATCCCCTACTAGTAAAAACAAATCTGAATATTTTACTGTTGAAGATGAATATTCTATATATTTAACAAATAATTATTCACTGTCTGTGAAGACAGAAATTATGATGATAGAAGGGCATTGGTTATTGTACAAATTTCAGTGATATCTAGAAGCAGCTCTTGGCTTTCCACAATAAGTGCTAGAGTTCTGAAAAATTTCTGCTTACTACAGTTGAACAGTGGTGTTGTATCGGTGATGACTTAAGAATGGTTTAAATGCAGCAAGTTTATAGGGCAATATTAGACCAACTGAGATGGTGGCAAAACCAGACCTCTTTCAAAGATATTTTGGCTTTATTGTAGCTGTGCTAACACTGCTGCTCAGCACAGAAGATATTGAAATCTGCCATTTGAAATACTGGCTACACAACATGAAATAAAAAGAAATGAGACTGAACAGAAAACTTTTCCCCCTTAACTATATAATTTGATTTAAGAAAATATTATGTATACATATAAATCTTACTTCATATAATGGCTTATGTATTGGGCATGATTGGTCATGTATTATGACTGGGTAGGGCATGCCTGCTAGAAATTTAGAAAAATTATCTCTGATAGTAGAAAAATTATTAAATACATTTTTGAATAATATACGAGTACTACAAATATGTAAAAGCTGGATGGAAAAGCTTATAGGACTAATTGGTGAATATAACGAGGTGGGGCTGATACATTCTTGAATGTTTTAGTGAATAAGATTAATGACCCAAATTTAAAATGTCAAGGGCCAGAACCACACACAGACTTGCTTCCCCAGTTCTCGTGATGGTGTGCTAGTAATAGAAGTGCCTATGTAGATATGTAGACAGCCAGTTAGATGCCTTAACTGAAAGGCTGAAAACTCAAAGGTTTGTTATGAAATTAGGTAGTGCGGTGATTATATACAGATTAGTATTCACCTGCAGATGTACACCGAGGGCAAAGAGAGCAAACAAAGATCATTTCTCATTTGATAAAGAGGCCCCAGATATGAATACAACCCCTTTTTCTGTGCAAAAACCTTTCCAACTTCAACAAAAATAATTTTTAGGAAGAATTTTCTCTCATTTCTTGGTAGCTACATAGCCTTATTTCTCGTAATTAATTTATCTCACTCTTTGGCATTAGAATCTCTTCACACCTAAACTTCAGTGTCATGGTTTAACCTCAGCCAGCAACTGAGCACCACCCAGCCGCTCGCTCACTCCCCACCCCCCCCGCTGTGGGATGGGGGAGAGAATCGGAAGAGTAAAAGTAAGAAAACTTGTTGGTTGAGATAAAAACAGTTTAATAATTGAAATATAATAATAATATAGAAAGCAAGTGATGCACAATGCAATTGCTCACCACCCGGTGACAAATGCCCAGCCAGTCCCCGAGCAGTGGCCCCCCTGGCCAGCTTTCCCCCAGTTTCTATACTGAGCATGACGTCCCATGGTATGGAATGTCCCTTTGGCCAGTTTGGGTCAGCTGTCCTGGCTGTGCCCCGTCCCAGCTTCTTGCGCACCTCCAGCCTTCTCAGTCGGCAGAGCATGGGAAGCTGAAAAGCCCTTGACTAGTGTAAGCCCTGCTCAGCAACAACTAAAATATCGGTGTGTTATCAACATTATTCTCATCCTAAATCCAAAACACAGCACTGTACCAGCTACTAGGAAGACAATTAACTCTATCCCAGCTGAAACCAGGACATACAGTTTCTGCACCAAGAAGCCCGTTCCATACACCCCTAAAACTTAGGTTGTCGTAAGACTTGAGCTTTATGCATAAGATCATTTTATTTTAAATGGCTGAAGATCATCGTGGACTGCCTTGTCCTTGCAGGTTGTAAATGTGCATTTACAAAAGACCTAATTTCTTGTACAAGCCTGGTGCTTGCTCTGCCAGTGTTTAAGTTCAGGCACATTTTAGGGGCACAACAAAAACCCAGGCCACACGAAGTTTCAGCTGTTTGATGTCTAAGGAGGCTGCCATGGATGGGTACCGGGAAAGCTGGGCAACACAGCAGCTTAAACCACAGAAATCCTGGTGTGGAGTGGTATAACCTCAGCCCCTGAGGAGACAACAGCTTTGGGGACGCGACCGCTGCTCATTTACTCAGTGCAAGCTGGGACATAAGCAAGGCATTTCTGGTCTTGACACTGGGTGGCACTGCTTGTGCCAGCATTCATTCAAATGCATCAGTTTGCATTTCAGAGGGGAATGAGAGACGCAATAGTCACAGGGATAGCACAAGAATAATTCCCCAAAAAGCTCCAGATTCTTTCTACTTTAAAAAAATCTGGGCTGGTTTGCAAGTCAGGAGGTAAAACTATCCATTAATCCAAAGTTGCTTTACAATTAGTGTACTGCCATTGCCACTGCGATGCAGAACAGTGCATCAGTGCAACAGCCCCATGGTTACAGGGAGATTGGTACAGGTCACAGATAACTCTGGAAAAAGTGAGGAATTGTACCTTGGCTTTCTATTAGCTCCCTACTTAATAAATCATTCTTTGAAACCTCTAAAAACACAAGTCAAGACAGTAGTCTTGTGCACGAGCTTAAAAAATAACATAACTAGCATGTAGCCCACAACTGATAACTAGTGCAAGCAAGGTCTTTCCATCAGCATGCAGTATTAGGATTTGCCTTTTGCTTGATAGAAAAACAGTAAACAAAAGGGAAATTAAATGTCATGATTCAACTGAACTAAAACAGGAACTTTTGTCAGGAATCTGCAGACCAAGCATGAAAAGGGTGTGAATTTTCACAGCATTTATTGTTGACCTAGCTGAGCTGCCATAAATCATGAAACAAGCCCCAGCCAGGATCCTGCCTCAGGTAGCTTGGTCATGGGGCAGACCAGCATTGACATGCCTTATTGACCAGGAAAAATAACCCTTAGGAAGAAAATACTTAAATAAGGATATTTGCAGGTTCACTTTCTGCTGAGATAGTGATCAGGAAGGAATTTGCCTCAGGGTGCTGAAAATGGATGTGGGGAAAACTAGTTTGGGGCTTTATTTCCTCTTTGTTCTCTGGTTTTGTTGTATTTATTTGTTTATTAATTCTGAAACATCAGACATGGGTTTCTGCAGCAGGTGGAATAACAGAACTGGCCATCAGTGGGCCAGTGAAGATGAATTACACAGTGTTTCCCGGCACGTCTTCCTGAAGGGGGTAACATCATCTCCCTCTTTTTACCTTGTCGGGCTGGTATTATTTTTCAGGAACGAACCCAATTGGTCAGGCATGGGGAATGGCTCCTTAGACTAGCAGATCAGCTTAATCCAGATCTCTTGCATTTTTATTTGGTGAATAACCTAAAGATTAATCAGTGCTCAGTGCATATGGACCATGGGAGTGGCTATAGCATAAGCCTTTTAGAAATCCAGACATCTGGATGAAGTGAGCACAGCTTATCCTGAGTGGGTTATATGCTCTCCACTCCTCTAATACAACAGCAGGATTTGGGTTAAAGTTGAGATTTTTCAGATATGATTTGTGTTTTTAATTTCACAAAGTAGTAAACTCTAAGTGTGCAGCAGAGCAGCCTGGGAGCAGTCAAGGCCCTGAAGAGCAGCTTCATTTTACTTTGTTTCAAGCAAAATATTGCATTGTTCCGTCTCACATTGAAATACAAGCCTCTAGGGCATACGCTGAGCTAGCTTAAGCCAATGTCTCCACATCAGCTTCAAAACCTGACTTCTTGCAAAAAGGTCCAGTCTTTTAACTGCAGAGCATCAGTTTCAGCTGGCCTTCAATGACATGAGGGGCAGCAGAAAATGAGCCCTGACCTCATCTGAGCAAATAATCACCGTGATTCTAGCCCTTGTCCTCCCACAATTCAAAGATCAGGTATAGCATGGTATGGCAAGTAGTTTTATAACAGCCTGAAGGGAGTAGGGATAGTCCTGCATGCTCGTACCTTAGCTGTCACCAGTGAATCGGAGAATAACCGGTTAGGGTGCAACTCAAAAAAAAAAAAGGTTTACTACACATGTAGAGCTCCCTTGTTTCCTTCTAAACAGTTCTGGACAGAGACGTATGCATGTGCTGTATAGCGTATACATGTATTGCTTTCAGTGCACCCAGGATGCGCTGAACTGCCTGCAAATGCACTATGCAGATGGCCAGCACATGGGCGGTACGTCTATCATGTGCTGGAGACATTGGGCTTAATGTGCATGTGCAGTCTCTCCGCAGCAATCTCCTGACACGACCAATTTCCTCTTACCGCCTGTTTAAAATTTCCAGGTGAAAATGAGAACATGTTCAGGGATACCCAGGAGTTTGCTAGCTCCAAATGTGCTTCAGATTGTTTCCAGAAGGAATTCTGTTGGTTCCTGTGCTGTACAGATCGAGCACTGCAAACGCCCACTCTGCACCCACTCCCAATTTGGTGGAGGCTTGAAAAACCTTGACAGAGTCCCAAGTCTGTGGCTTCGTGAGCCAAATGTTTCTGATGGAGTCATATATTCACTTAGCAGAAGGCTCTGTGTGGCATCAGCCAAATCATTTAACTTCTTAACCCATCTGTTAAATGTATACCTACTACTTCACAGAGGGCTGTGTGATTTAATTTAATTAATGTTTGTAACAGACTTTGAAAGCATTAGAAGGAAGGTGCTAAACAAGGGCACAGCTTTTAGACTCTAAGCTGGGTTTTGAGCTGATTATAGTGTCTCAAAAGTTTAATTTTAGACCACTGCAACTATCAGGAGACTTGTCCCTGCTCACACAGGGAGACCGTAACTACTCTCTGCCCCAGTCGTCCCAATATGTATGTGTGGATGTGGTATAGACTCCTCCCCTCTGCATAAAGAAATTCAAGATCAGCAGTGGTAATAATAACGTAGGTCCACAGATCCCTAGCAAATAAAACCCCAGTATTTGGGAATGAGAATCTATTTAGGATTTAGAATCTTGCCAACCTCCAGAGCATCCTTTAAAAAACAGACTTTAATCCTATCTCAAATGCCAAACAAAAATACCAATTAAATGTCATTTTCTTTAAAAATGAGATGACCTTTTCTAGAAAAGGTGAAGCATTAAATTAAAAAAACCTTTAAAGTAAAAGGGAACCAAAACAAAATAACCTCCTATTACACACCACGCTCCCAAGATGAAGCAAATACAAAGATTTAACTGTAGTTCCTGCGTACCCTCACAATACTCTCAACCCCATTTGACTGGTGCTACTCTGCAATGATAATTCTCAGGCTCCACTGAAGCCCCGGGCTGGACACAGGAAAAGCCAGTACAGCACAGTAGAGGTGTGCAGGGATCTGGTGTAAATTTACTTGCTTACAACCTACCTGTGACATGATTGCTGGAAGACTGCAGTCCTACCAGTATGACTCGGCCGCTCGCTGGTTTTAATAGCACTTCCCTCTTCTTTCCCCCCCATCATAAGCAAGCTACCCCTCATCAAATATGGACATCACCTCAGACTTTCAGTCCGCATTTGAAAATAAAGATGGCTTTCTACTTTACAGCCATTTTATTGCGTACCTTTCCAAACACATGGCAAAATGATTTTATAAGCTCTGGAGTCCAATTTTCATTTGTTTAGCCTGCTGAAGTCTAAAGAGTTACACCAGAGATACTGAAAAACCTAAGCTTAAACACAATTCCCTTTAGTGAGAGTGAAAGGATGTTTCTAATGTCATCCGAGGGGCAGCATCAAGGACTCAACATCCAGTACACTGAAGAGCAGTAGACTCCTACTCAAAACAGTTGCTGCATGTTCTCCTATGAACAGTTCTTTTGTAATGGCAATGTTTTAGGTTGTCTGGTTTGATGGAAAACATGTGTTATCATATTTTTACAATAAGCACAACAGGTTATGCAATCACAGCAAGTATTTGTGTCTCTTATCGCCTGAATGCCCAATTAAGTTGCCAGCATTCTGCAAATCATCATAAAAGCTGGCCTTTTCTTTCATTCCTTGGAATATTTGCCCCTGCTCTCTTCAGAGGGAAAGGCCTAATGTCAACAGTATAGTACTGATTGCTAAATGAAATTCTGTTATGACACACTGTCACACTGGACAGGATGTAGACATACATAATGGCTTACATTTAGTGTTAGTTACACACTGTGTCTGATCACAATTCTGATTTTCTAATTTCTAATGACAGAAAACCAGAATGACATTTAATATATATCTATTTATATGTGTGTGTGTGCATATATACACACACACCCCAAGCAACAACTTTGATTGTTTCAGTTACCATTATCTATTCCTGGTTATACCTGGTGACCCAGAGAGGAAGGCGTACATGTGCCGGCCACTGAGCAATTCATTCCTTCTGCAAAGGAACCGCTAAATGGTTCAGGAAACAGGGATTGCTCTGGGCTATAGGGATGCTCAGAGGACTGAGGCAAGATGCACAGCCTTTGACTTCTAAACTAGTGACGTGAATCATGTCTCAGCCGCAAATAATTTTCACCTGAGAGCACTGCTTGCTTATAATGGCTAACAAAGATAACGGAGGAATATGATCCTTCTGCATTTGTAAGCAGTTTTGTCTGAGCCCTGCACAACTGTAGTGCTACTTACTTATATTAACGTGCATAACTGCTCATTGCACACTAACATACAGATCACTGTCACTCCGTAGGTTTCCTGCTCTTTGTATGTTCACGTTTCATCTTCAGGAGCTGTCTTTCTAATAACTTTCTTTTCAATGCATGTCCCAGGTACTTTGCCAAGAAAATGCAAGAAAGAACTGCTGGCAGTAAAACTACGAAACAGACCGAGTAAGCAGGAGCTGGAAGACAGGAATATTTTCCCAAGGAGGACAGATGAGGAAAGACAGGAAATCCGGCAGCAAATTGAAATGAAACTCTCGAAGTAAGTCTAAGAACAGGGAGGGACCTCCCTTTACAATGGAGTGTCCTCTGAGTACTGTCAGATGAGATGCTGTCACCCACCCCCAAATCCATTTCCTGCAGTGAATCATACACAAACTAATATAGCACATTATCAGCTGTCAATCAGTCACATGAAAAAAATTTTAACTCCCTCTTCAGTCAGGGTTCCCTTGATTTCAATAGAAAACAAGACAGAAGTCAATGTGGGAGACAAAATTCTGCCAAATCTACCTGCAGCTCCACTGACGTAATCAAGATTTTGAGGTCCTCCAAGAAGGCTAGTGCTTTAACAAAAATAATAACATAATTGTTTATTAACCTGATTTTGCTTTGTCAGTGCTAGTTGAATTTGAGGATAAAGGCAAGGGTTATAGCTACGTATTTACTTGAACAAGGGAAAGCTGCTGTATGCGTTGGTGGCTATATTTCTGCTTTAAGGAAGAAGCAACTTCAGCAGTATTGCCCTTACATGGGTAAGGTGTTTGTGTAAGTCGAGTTGCAGGGACAGCAGGGATGGTCTGGTTTTGATCAGTAACCAGGGCAACAGGGTACGAAAGAAATAGCATTACTGTGGCATGTAACCTAAAGCAAAGGTTTAAGGTAACTATGAGGCTCAGACTGCACCATTTGGTTTTTGTGTGTGTTTTGTTTTTTTTTTTTTTTTTTTTTTTTTAAGAGCTACATTTGGATAGCTGCAAACATGAATATTTTAGATGAGACAAAGTGGATTGTTAAATAATCTGTGCTGCGCCTGCCCACATTGGGACGGTGAGCACTGCTCACCGCCAAAATGCTTGGAATCAAATTGAGAAACATGAACAGAAGTTCATTTTCAAGGCTTATTAAATATTAAATATCTCAAGCCTCTCCTGAAAGCAACATTTATTGATATTTAGGCTAGCTCATTCATGAGTGTGCATTTGATTAAACTTTACCTTAGGGGACAGGGAATGAGAAGCACACATATGGGTCAGAGCACAAGTCCTAATGGACCAGTGTTTACGGAGGAAAACATCACTGCCATCACCACACTTGCCCTCAGCTAAGAAACAAGCTTTTGAATGAACACAGATGAGATTTTGTGTGCACTTCATGATGCCCCTGCAATGCTGGAGATGGAATAATCACCTTCCTCCAGTCTCAGTGACTGCTATTTATTCTTTGTAGCATGGTAGCACTTTACGCCCAAAGGAGAACAGTGCATTGTGCCAGTGACTGCACAAGACAGAGCAGATGACAGTCCCTGTCACAAAAAACATGTACATCCCTGTTGTGGTTTAACGCCAGTCGGCAACCAAGCACCACACAGCCACTTGCTTACCCTCCCCCCGCCGGTGGGATGGGGGAGAGAATCGGAAGAGTAAAAGTGAGAAAACTCTTGGGTTGAGATAAGAACAGTTTAATAATTGAAATATAATAATAATAAAAAAAATAATTTTAAAAAAATGTAATGAAAAGGAAAACAACAAAAAAGAGAGAGAGAGAGGAACAAAGCCCAGGAAAAACAAGTGATGCAACTGTTCACCACCTGCCAACTGATGCCCAGCCAGTCCTTGAACAGCAGTCACCGCTCCCTGGCCAACACCCCCCAGCTTGTATACTGAGCATGACGTATGGTGTGGAATATCCCTTTGGCCAGTTTGGGTCAGCTGTCCTGGCTGTGCCCCCTCCCAGCTTCTTGTGCACCTCCAGCCTTCTCAGTCGGCAGAGCATGGGAAGCTGAAAAGCCCTTGGCTAGTGTAAGCACTGCTCAGCAACAACTAAAACATCGGTGTGTTATCAACATTATTCTCATCCTAAATCCAAAACACAGCACTGTACCAGCTACTAGGAAGGAAATTAACTCTATCCCATCCGAAACCAGGACAATCCCAAACAAGTAGAAAATATCACATGACAATTTACATTAAGTTCCAAGAGTTACAGGCAGAGCAAGTCATAGATGTGCTACATTAACACCCATCATCTTAGGAAGGAAAGTGTCATGGGATTTGACCATGGCCTTGATCATCTTGACCTTGCGAGCCTTGTGTATTCATTTCAGGGAAATATTTCAAGCTGCACTCCGATATTGTTAATTCCAGTATTTTGGCCAGTCAATTGCTCGTGAAATATCTTCATAGGTCAGGAGCCTAATTTTATGGCTCTAAGATACACAAAAAATGGTTTCCACGCCACTCCATCCCTAAAACCAAGTTGGACCATCACAGAGTATTTACTGAGTGAGATGATTATCTCATATCCAGCCACACCTCATACTGCTGAAATGCCAAGGTCACATCTCTTTTCAATACAGCCTGACTTCTCTTAGTGTCAAAGGTCTAATGGAATTGCAGCTTCAGGTGGTATAACTACAGGCTTCATTCCTTTTCTTTTCATTTACCATTTAGCTTGCTTAATAAGGAGCCTAAAGAATTATTTTAAAGGAGGCATACCTAAAGTCAAGTGTCAGTACAAGGACTTAAAAAGGAAACTGCTCTACTGATGAAGAAAAGGGATGGTCATTACTAGAAGCTAGGAAATGTACCGTCTATAGGTAAAGGCAGAGAAGGAAGCCATACTGTTTGCTGTGGTCTTATTGAGCAATCTGTGGTGCAGGCTATTAGTATCATTGGTAATGTCTAAAGGATGGCTAAAAGCCATCTTTGTTCCAAGTGCTGGAAGACAGGCTTTCATTTAGCTCCTTCCTCCTGGAACATGGAAGATTCCGCGCATCTCGGGGAACAGACGGTGCAGAGATTGCTGGAATAGCCAGGAATGGCAAAACAGATTGGAAGCAATCTCCCACACAACTTCCAGCACATATGTGCACTGGCAGAGCTCAGCTCAGCTCTTAACTCATCCACCAGAATAGAACATGACCGTGCAAACAAGCTCAGGTGGTGGATGCATGCAGGGAAGTATTTACGCCAGGAAAAGCAAGTATGTGTGTCGTCCCCCCCCAAAAAAAAAAAAAAAAAAAAGTAAAAATGGGTATTGGTAAAGGCCAAAGAGTCAAAGCCCTAGAGATATCCCTCTGGAGTTTCTGACTAGGACTGACTAGGTCTCACGCCACAAAACCCAGACCACCCCAGAGTCCTCACTCAGAACACAACCTGGCAGTAGCGCGGAAATGTAACCACACTGGGCAGAGCAAAAATCTTGCGTGAAATTTTGAGGTCTTTAAATCCATTCATTTTACTGGTACTTGTGCAGCATAGTCTCTTCGTGACGACTTGGAAGTTTATAGCTAAGGAACGTACTGCTAAGCGTCCAGGCGTGAAGCACTGACCGGGAAATGGGATCCAATACAAATTTCTGTTCTCTGTATGATTTTGCCACTACCTATGCAGATAAGAGCACATTGCTGCTGCTGCTGCTGCACTAGTAACACTTTGATAACAGCAATGGGACTTACCAGCTCAGTTATGAATCCACAGGTACCATCAGGCTATAGGCCTGTACTTTAGCACAAAAGAATAATGTATGGGCAGATTAGGGAGTAGTTATTTGATGGCTGTCTGCATAAGAATGGCAAGTAAACAGGCAGTTGTTTTCAAGATCAATATTTTTCAGCACATTTGTAGGAATTTGAAAGTCTATAGCTGTCTAGCAAATTGCCTCAGTCCCACAGCTAACACAGCCTAGCTCTGTACTCTGGAGGGAAAGCTGTGCTGATGAATGTAATGTGCAAAAGATACCGAATAATAATGTCTGTGTAACTTCAAAAACAGGGAGACAAAAGAATAACATTTTCTTAAAACCGCTGTATTTTTTAAATGGTTCTGGCTGTAATACATTTCAACAGTAGTTGTGAACCTGCTGAGAAAACCAACTCTCAGCTATCGTGCTGATGAGTGTTTACACAATCAAAGCTAAAATCCCTATTTTTCTTCACTTTCCCACTCATTCCATCTCAAAAGAGAGGTTGAGGAATTCTGTTATATCTTTTGGGCCAGATTCTACTTTTACAGCAGTGCAAGTCCACTGACTTCAGATTTATTATTGACTGATAGCAGCGTGAGTACAGATTCAAGTATTCATTTATGTGCATTGCTGCTTTTGACAAGTGTATTTCCCATATTTCGTGCTCCCAGCCAATTTAGTCTACCACTTGTTGCCGTGGAAACATGCACGTCTCCCTCCTCCTCCACCCAAAAGAGCAGTATTCCATTTTCCCCAGATTTCCCTTTCCAGTAGTGTTTCTCTTACTAATTCATGCATCCCCAGCGCCCCAGGCCATGGTGTGCACTTGCAATATTCTACTGTGCATTAGGTAACAGGGCTCCCAACAGGTCTTGGTTCCCATTATTATGTGTTCGGAGCGCAGATAATAAGCCCTCAATGGAATTCAGTGAATTGAGAGCTCTTTGTGTCAAGATGCAGAAAAGACATTTGCAAGTACGATTACTTGCAATAACGGCTTTCTGCCTTACAGACTCACTTTGTTCTAGAAGGGGTTTAAGCTGAAACCTGGGGGAGTAAAATAGTGGCTAGACTAAAGAGTGACGCAGGAAGAGGTTGTTTAATTAAATTTAATATCTGACTGTTTAGAAAGTTAGTGTTTGAACTGCCTGGGTGGCTGGTACTTCTCAAGTATGCCTTGTATAACCACAGTTAAAGACACTCCATTATTACTTAGTGTTTCAATGAAAACATGAATTCCCGGAAAAGATTATACTTGTAATTTTCACTTCATGTTCTGTTTCACCTCCTTGGATATTTGCATAAGTAGACACGATGCATTAAGCGGCACTTAAAAGATTACGGAGACAGGAATTCAGATACAGAAACGTGGGCATCAAAGGAGTCAGACAGGAAGAATGACGGTTTTGTGGACACAGAGCGGAACCAAAACTCACGAACCTAAAACTGATCTTTACTGCATTGAAAATCTGGCATGGGTAGGTGGATCATGCTGGGGCAAGGTTTCTTGGCAATGTAAAGTGAAAAAGGAGGTATCTTTATTCAGTACTTTACCACATCTGGAAATCTGTAGTT